CAAATTATTAAGACCCCTATATTAGGTTTGGGGGCTCTACTGGATATCTTGGGCTTCCTTTAGGTTTCTGTGTAAGCGTGTTGAGGGTGTGGAGGGGATCAACACCAGGAGTGTTTAATGGGTGGCTCTTTGTTTTTTTTGTTCACTTTTGGGTCTGTGGGGTTTTTCGGTGTTAGACTACTACATCAATCTTAGGCTTCGGGGGATCTAGAACTTGGGTTTGGGTGTCTAGGCGAGTTCGATCCTCAACTGTGAAGACTGCGTGCCACGGCCACGACAGATGCCTTGCCTCTCGATAGCGACGTGTTTCAAGGCGCTGTTGACAAAACGAAGTTAGCCGAATCCCGGGTCAGGCGGCCAGCCATGGCTTCCATTTCGCTCGCTGTGCTCCTCCTGCAGCTGCTTTCTGGGAGTTGTCACATCCAGCCTGTACAGTTTCTGAGTGCGGTGGCTCGAGAGGAGCCTTGGTACTGGGCCCTTGCGCTGGATAACAGCTCCGCTGCAACACTGAGAAGCCACTGGGAAGCCGAGAAAGACTACCAAGAAGCACTGCGCAGCGGCATCGAGACGACCCTTGCCGATGTTTGGTATTATTATTATTGTGATTATTATACGTATTTATATTATTATATTGTGTCAAGTTGGGTTTCAAGGCTCCAGGCTCAAGTCGAAAGCTCCTGCTGTCCATGTGGACCGCTTGAAGCCTGAGCCAGCGACGATCTCCGAAATGGCACCTGTAATCCACGAAGCCTAAACCCTAAACACTATAAACGAGCTCCCGAGACTGTGAAGCTCAAGACCTCAAACACAAAGGCCCAAGACTTTGAACACCCAGGGCAAACTCTGATCTCAGGAAGACTGCGTTTCATATCACTCTTCTTTTCATCGGCGGTGCAACGGATGAGGAGCGCGTGATGTGAATGCCAAAATCAAACTCGCCACCCGGAACTCAATGCACGCAGCAATATTGACCACATGAGTAATCCTAATCGCTGCCGGAATATACAGATATTTACTACTACTACTACTACTACTACTACGACTACGACTACGACTACGACTACGACTACGACTACGACTACGACTACGACTACGACTACGACGACTACGACGACTACCACTACTACTACTTCTACTTCTAC